GGTTCCCTGTAGTTAAGGAAACTAGTGGACTTAAAAAATAATGTCCAAATTTTGTTTTATAAATCTTGTTTACTTGTTATAAATTCCATGTGAACAGGCGACCACTAATATTTGGGAACCGGTGGTCGCTTACGATGCCCGGAGGGTAAAGGGGGGGGGGGGCTATTGGGGCATTGGGGACTAAACCAATATAAGGCATGTTGCATTGCTTGTTTTTTACTATCTAACTTCGTTGCTTTCAGATCGCTGCCATATCGCCAGCAGATATCAACTACGACGAGACTTTATCAACACTCAGGTTTGTACATATTATTCAACTTTGAACACACGTTTGTAATACAGTGAAGGATAAAATAAAGTAGTGTGACTGCTTCTACCCTCCCTTCAAAAAACGAGAAGAGCGTCGGGTGCAGACCATACACCACAAGTGACGACGGCCTCCAAGTAAATCTGGTTAGTAGTGGTTCATAGTGATAGCTGATTTTGGTAAATGATAGTTGTAATTAGTGACAACTGATAGAATACAACTGCAACAGGCTAATCATTTCATTGGCAGAAAACATTTACATTTTGTGGAGGCCGTCGTCACTTGTGGTGTATGGTCTGCACCCGACGCTCTTCTCGTTTTTTGAAAGGGAGTATAGAATGCGTAGGTATGGGCAAAACTCTTCACCCCAGGCGATCGAAACAATCAGGAACAAGTCGAAATTGATACTGTGATTATTTTCTACAAGGATACGCCACGCATTCGATGAGGAGCTGTAGGTGCACCTGATGACGAATTTAGCCCGTACAAAGACTTGCGAGAGCGATGAACAATAATCACCCTTTTCTCCCCCACATTAGCATAGCACTGAACAGCCGAATTTATAAGGATTAATTCAAGACGTCTTGAACGGATTTCGGTCTTTGGTGTGACTGAAGCCTATTGGCTCACCTTTGAATTGAATCGAATTGAAATTGAAGCAGAAAGCATTCGGCGTTGATCAATCCGTTTTGCCACGCATTCTTCTTCCATTCAGATTCGAGTGGCATTTTGAATGCGATGTGGCCTATACAATGACTTGCGGGGGCCAGCCGATGTACAAGTCAGTGTTTTTATCCTCCCAGACAAGTCTGGTACCAATTAACCGACCCCGGAGGGATGGAAGGCTTGGTTGGCCGGGCGACTCACGACCCAGGATTCCATCCTTGGACCTTACGCGCGTAAAGCAACGCCACTTACCACTACACCAGTTTCGGACTTATGATCATACCACAGGTACTAAAGAAATAAAGGTTGGTAGACCCAAACAGAAACCGAGGAACCGAATCGGCCAGCATGTATCGGTTATGAGCCCCATGGGTTGGCTCTACAATTGCTACCAGGTGCTCTGGGGGGGGGGAGGGGACGAATGAAAAAAGGGTTAAAAACTGTATAACCGATACTCAGAGTATTCGCTACAGAACCATAAGACGAAACAAGCTTCGCATCGTAGTTCAGGCGCAAGACTAACAAGTAGGTAAGAATGAAATGAATTCCGAGGAAAATGAGAAGAATTACCTTCAGAGATAGAAACCAAATTATTTATTTATCCATTTATTTATAATGCAATCAAGGTACGCCATCAATAAACACAATAATCTTAGTAAGAACAATCGACACGAAGAGGTGTGCCAAGATATATAATAAGAGAGAGACACACAGCCCCTGGCTCACGGTCCCCCCGTATTAGCCATATTCCGACTCCGCCCACCGCGAAAACTACGCCCACAACCCCCGAACAGCACATTTTTGTTGTTATTTGCTTTTGACCTACAACAACAATGGAGCGAAAATGTTGAAAACTACGCTGCCGGAAGCTATACTTGTCTAATAGCAAGTACTGCTTCTGGCAGCCTAACTATTTATAGCCTATTTAGCTAGCCCACTTTTAAAGTTTTAAAAAAATAAGCCCTGCTGACTCAAAGTTTTTACCTTCAAAGGTTTGCTGATCGAGCAAAAGCAATCAAGACGAACGCGGTGGTGAACGAAAATCAGACGGAACGCCTGCTACGCGAATTAAGGGAAGAAAACGAACGTTTGCAGAAGGAACTCAAAGGAGGAGGTGGTGGAACCAACGTGGGTTGCTGACGTTTTCAAGCGCCCTTCACTCTTCTTATACACAATCTCCCCCTCCCCCCCCCCCCGGCCCGCCCCCCTCAACTACTCAGTGAGTTTGTAACGGACAATAAGCTTTATTTTGCTCTACGACGACGTTTTGGCGTAGAACCAAATAAATGACCCCATTGGGTCGATAAAAGGTCCATTTCGACCCGCTCTCAAATCCAATCCGTCAAGCCTTTATCTACCTCTCCCCTTGAATAAAATTAACAATAATTATTCAGGAAGAAATTGAATCTCTTCGACGTCAACTTGAACAGAATCAGAAAGAGATGGCTGAACTGGAGAAGACCTGGCAAGAGAAAGTCGCTGAGGAAGCCGCAAAAGTGAGGCGATCAACCATACCTCCGGCCCCCGGCAGCGTGAGATAGAAACGTTTTATCTAGGCTAAAGAAGAGAGGATCGCAAGTTACATTAAGGGAGAACTAAATTGTGACGCTTTGCTAAAGCCCCCAGCAAATTCCCAATTGTGTCCCATTTATCTGTTCGAAGATGAAGTCGGAGATAGCAAAAGGACCGGAACTTACGAAAAAAAATAACCAAGAACAGTGAAGATAAGACCACCCTTCTCCTCATTCCTGAGGCTTTCCTAGGCTGTGGAGATTCCAGGAGACAGACAGCGAGATGAGAGTTACTGGAGCAGAATAAAGATAAAAATCAACGGCCGAGAAGCTAGCTTTTGCGGAAAAGAATAATCTCGCGTCACTTTGTGGCGATACTCCAAGGCTGCGAGCCCGGCGTGCAATCCCCCGCCCTTACCACCACCGTTGCAATTTCGTGCGACAAAGTCGGTGAATCCCATGTACTTGCCTATCACTTTCTCTTGTTTAGGTTCAATTTGCATCCCAATGACTTTGTCGTGTGATGTGCCTTTAACCCTAGTCCATAAGCAATTTACAACCGGATGTAAAGGTAATTCTTGTGAAACAGACATGACAGGAAGCGCTGTTGCTTCGAGAAATGGTCCGTAGTCCCATTCTATATACCAATCATAAAAATCGAGACAAGCATTTTTCCATACAGCTCATAAAAGGACCCAGATAATTTTCTAATTACCCTTGAAGTGATCTCGATAATTTAGCTTCAAAGCACATCTGCCGAGCGCCTGGCGATTCAGAAGCAGCGCAAAGAAATCCCTCATCTTTGGAACCTCAACGAGGATCCAGCACTGACCGACGTTATCGTTCATTTCTTGCCACCAGGAGAAGTGACAATCGGTAAATTCAAATGCAGTTCATTAAATCAACACAGGACATGCTGAGAACTTGTTCATTCCTTTGTATGTTGAAATTTTGTTCCAACTTGGTGTTGTCCTCTCATCCAAGGAAGTTTCGCTTCTGCACGTTTTTTTAAAACGACCCTTCTCTCTGAACAGGGCTCTGGTTTAGAATCACAAAATACGACCTTCTTTGGATTTTCCTAACGAACGCTTTACTTTGCGGGGAATCTTGCTCGAGAATGAACACCTATGGCACATTGCAGCAGCACCGTAATGGCGACAGGTTATGAAGCGATGGAATGTCTAGTTCGGAAATCTCGACAGTCGAATTTACGCACAAACTGTTCTTCTACATCAGTACACGACCTTGTCTGAAAGATAACTAGAAAAGAATAACAGAAGCGGCTCGGAAGATATTGCCTTGGCGATAATCCGTGTCGCTGAAAACTCAAAGGAAGTGATTACGATAAAGAGGGATGGCATCGGGAAAGTGTATGCATCACATGAGATAGTTACTTGGCCACCAAAGGAGTGAGACTTTCCTTCCATGGCTTAAGGAAGATTTTCACGATGAGAGGTGCTCTGTTTACTGAGCTGAGCAGGACTTCGAAAGCACTCCGCCCCAAAAGCGATCCGCCCACTAGTTTAGTTGGTGATTTGGACGAGCTGCGTTGCCAGCAGCTGGAGCAACTCGATTGGAGCGTGGTTTGGCATGGTGCCACCAAACGCGTTGCGGTGAACTCGTTCATACGTCCGCTTTCTGAGCTGTTACCTGTTCATGAGTGAAAACCAACGGCCAAAAAGGGGTCCCGTTTTGCGTTTTCTTGACGGATTTTCTGCTTTTTCGCCACTGGCGTACCATTGAGCACCACCACGTCCCTCTAAACCTTCTTGAACTTGTCGTAATCGCTGCCCTTGAAGACTGTTGGCATCCTCACTTATCAGGAATGCATTCAGGGGAGGTGACATCAACGTATCACTAAAAGGCGGACCTAGCGGGATAAATGCTACAGAAGAAGAAGAAAAAAATATGCTGCTCAGTAAAATCCATACTTTTGAAATGGAGCCTGCCTATTATAAAAAATTTCCACTACTGAAATGATATTTTCTAGGAAACAAGACAGCCGTGCCGGCTCCGATTGTGCAACTAAACGGTCTCTCAATTCTACCACAACACGCCGTTGTAGTTAATTCGAAGAATAAGAAAGTAACCATTACACCTTGCGGGGTAAGTCGATATCCAATGTTTTCCTGATGTACAGTGGTGTTGCAAGATACGGGGGAATTGTGGTGGCAATGAGTTCGAAACAGCGTAAAGCATCTCCTGCTAAAACCGTGACTGAGCTTTAGGCGGAGAAGGAGGGGACACGGAGTGCGTGAACAATATTCCCGAATCCCTGCCTCCTTCTAGAAGTTGCCCTGGAGTATCCCTTGTCTTGTGGTAGCGCTTGTTCGGGTACCTTTCTATATACAGGTGTTTCATACTGCACGTAAGTAATTTGAGAACAAGTCTGAGGGCGGGACGATATCCTTAGCGGGTCAAGTAAAGCTTTAAATTAGTTTTTATACTCTTCATATAGCCCACTTTAGTTTGCAAATAAACTTTCTACGACATTTCATAAATTTGACGTATAAGTAAGAATTTCTTCCGAATCGTTTCTCGTGTTTTCCAGCGCAGCGATTCATCTGCAGGAAGTTTGCATCGGGATTTTAACAATTTGTTCTATGATTCCAGGAAGCGGAAATCCTTATCAACGGCAAAAACGATCACAAAAACGAAGGAACTGGTACAAAATGACAGGTACGGTGAATTGTAGGGAACATCGCGTTTACAAAGCCTGTCGGGGGAATTGTGTGGTGCCCAATTGGCTCGCGCGTCGTCCAGGCCGACCGAGCCTTTC